CATCAGGAATGGTCGAACTGCAGCATGAGGGCAAATCAGACTGCACTTGTTGCACTGTGTGCACTTGTCCATATCCACCTTGGGCACCTGGATAGCAATACCACGCTTCTCGTATTGACTGGTACCGCATGGGACTCGTCCACCAGGTACAAAAGCACTGACTGGCAAGGAGTTGCCATCCAGGTTGTTGCAAGGTGCTTGAACCTGGTTGGCAAACTGCGAGGCATTCTGCACTTCAGGGAACATTCGCGGCCCCTTGCCATAGGCCACTTTGTTGCCCTTCGAATCCGAGGCCTGCCAGGGGTTGACATTAACACATTGTTGCGTCATGAGTCACATGTCTGACATGAGGGCATTGGGCATGGTATAATGCGCACTACATGGCATTACTATTTGACATGTCATGCCGGGTGCCCTTTGCTTTCTCCCAGACCTCCTTATCAATTGCCAAGGATGCCCAAGCTGCTGGAACTTCACATTCTACAATGCCCTCAATGGATGCATCAACACCATCAATGTTCATCTTGACCACTTTGTCACCCTGACAACGAACAACTTGCTTGAAGCTCATTAGCATGAGTTTGTGCAACCTCATACACGTTCAAACATAGAAGCGTTGGTAACTTGCAGTCTATCAGTATTCTACCTTCTTGCCGTACATCTTCTTGATGCTCTTCTTCAGCATCTCAACTGCCTCTTCGTAGGGCATCACCGCACCTAATCCGGGTGGCCAACCGGTTGATGTCAGTTGTCACGAACCTCCAAGACAAGGCTACACAAATCTCAGGCTGCCACTGAGTTTGAAGAAGACAGTCTGCATGATCATGTTGATGCGCTTGCCAAGTCCAGCCTTCACATGCAAACAGATTAGAAGAGTCAAACAGTGAAACAGCTTACAAAGCACAAACTGCCACACCCTCGGCACCGCCTTCACGGCAATCTTGGTAGCATCGATAATGTACAACTTTGCCTGCAAAGAGTGTACAACACACACACAAAAAAAAATCCACGCAAATGTAGACACAACTACTTTCATTCGCAAATGCGCACTTTACATACTCCTGAGTAAGGATCTAGCAGGCATGGCCCGCCTTCTTCTCTGCCAAATCCCGACGCATTTTGGCTGGCAGCTGCTTCTCCAAGTCACTGACATCCCAAGAGCAATTGATGACGCATACTGCGTTCTGTTTCAAGTACCGTGTCATGTCCTCGGGCAAACATGCAGTTGAAATCCTACAATAAGAAGCTCAAGACGTGCGATTCTGCATTTGTTTTGCGATACCTCAAGAGTTTTGCCAAGCGACATAGTTGTGCACGTAGCTTGGCTTGTGAATGGCCATATAGTCGGCAGCACGGACGTTGTATGGAGCATGAATTGGTTTCGGTCCAAACCTGAGGTGGCTGATGGTGACGCCGCCGCTCTTCTTGGCATCATACTCAAAGTATGCCTAGCAAGCCAGGGAAATCAAGGACAAGCAAGGATAACACATCGGAACAAGCACAAATCAACATAAATCAACCAGAAAAGCACTGGAAGTCTTTGCCTGCGCATGAAGCTCCGTTCCCATGGCGATCATCTTCACTGCACTCTTGTTCGCACCAACGGTACCATCACTGCCAAGTCCATAGAACATGCATTCCGTGGTGCCTTCTGGTAGGACATTGAGCCAAGGACCCACAGGCAAAGAGAGGTGTGTCACATCATCTTCGATGCCAACAGTGAATCTTGGCTTGGGGCTTTCCTGGGCAAGATTCTCATAGATCGAAAGCACCATGTTGGGTGTGAACTCCTTAGAACCCAACCCATAGCGACCTCCGATAACGACAATCTCAGAGTGGGCGCTGGAGTGGAGCATGGAGGCAACCTCCAGCAAAAGTGGCTCTCCTTGTGAACCTTGTTCTTTTGTACGATCCAACACGCAAATGCGCTCCGTTGTGGTTGGCAAAGCGGCCAAAAAGCGGGAGCTGTCCCAGGGTCGGAAGAGGCGTACCTTCAGAACACCGACGCGTTGTCCCTTGTGTTTGGCCAAGAAGCTCGCAGTCTCTCCGCAAGTAACTGCTGCACTGCCCATGACCACGATCACATGCTTGGCCTCTGGGTGGCCTTCGTAGCCATAAAGAGCAAAGTGCAAACCAGTTTTCTCTTGGACCAACTTGCCCTTCTCTTCAAAGAGATCTGCCAAGCCATCATAGAAGGTGTTACCTGCCTCAACGCATTGGAAGAAGATATCAGGACCTTGCGAGGTGCCTTGCACGTGCGGGTGACGTGGGTTCATTGCTAGGTCATGATGTTCCTTCACGGCCTCCCAATTGATGAAGGACTTCATGGTATTGTAGTCAATGAGTTTCACCTTGTTCACTTCATGACTGGTGCGGAAGCCATCAAAAAAGTGTTGCACAGGAACCCTGCGCTCCATAGACACAAGGTGGGCCACGATTGCATTCACCTGTGCCATTTCAACTGACTCTGAAGCCAGCATTGCCCATCCGGTCGATCGGCAAGCCATCACGTCACTATGATCTCCAAAAATGGACAATGCCTGTCCTGCCAAAGCACGGGCAGCCACATGCATGACACAGGGCAGCAACTCGCCCGCGATCTTGTACATGTTTGGGATCATCAAAAGAAGGCCTTGACCTCAGCAAACTGACACTACTATACAAGGATTCTATATATATTGTTATAATAGTTATAGGTATAATTATATGTATATACCTCAGGAATCCAATCTCAAAGGTACGACCAGGTATTGGTCAGCAACATTGGTTAATTGACTTTTCTTCTTTGAAACTTCAGCCACAAGACTCGCGGTGAAGGTAGTGCTGAAAGCGCCAGCTTTCAATGAACCGTGCAAGGCCCCAGCGGCCCCAGCTTCACTTTGCATCTCCGTCACACTGAGTTTCTGTCCATAGCAGTTGATGAGACCTGCGCAAAACAAAATGAACATAGAAAAGAAGGAAAGGAATAATTTACCTTGAACAACAACAGCAACCATACATCTGATATTTAAAAACAGCAAAAAACTTGGTCTTGTAAAGTCTTCAGGCCTTGTGCAGCCCATTCATCGACCATCTCTCCCATAGGAGAGCTTGGAGTAATGGGATAAATGAAGGCGCAGTCACTGAGGGCGTAGGCAACGTGAGCTGCAGCCTGGTTCCCATCAATGCATGCCACAGACCCTTCTGCAGCTTCAATGATGTCAGTATCGGCGCACTGGTGTACAATCGTCTTGTTCTCGGCTTGAAACATTTTCCTCTGCACTTCTTTGGCTTTCATGAACTGCTCATACTCGATGTCTGCTGCACCAGAACCGGCTCCTAATGGTTCCAATCTCTGAGGAGTTTCTTCCTGACGTTCCTGACCTCTCATCAGAAACTGAAGGCAAAGACCACCATAAGGACCAAAGGGGCTGGTCCTTAGCCAAAAACGATCTTTGCTCGACTGTCCTATATTCACGCAATTTGCCCCTACTTGCTCGTGAATTACCTGCTGAAGAACCACTGAAATAAGATTGCCAAGGCCAACCGCATCATGCAGGCTTCTAGGATTCTAGGTTTCTCACTGTCCGCGGAGAGCCATCACTAGAAACACTCTAGTGCGCCGGCACGTCTGGGATTCTTGCTTGGTCACTTGAGCTTCAAATTGCTACCAGCCAGGTACAACGCTTCCAAAACAAAAAAAATAACAACTTGCTTGGTTGGCCCTTGCAGTGGCTTGCTCTTGCAGTTGCTTTGGTAGAAATCACTGACGACCCTTGACTACCCAACGGCACCATGAAGCCAAATAGATGACGATTTCACTTTGCAACGTGTGCAATCTATGACCTTTCGCTGCTAGTGGTGTGTTTTGTTGGAGTTGATAAGTGAATGGGAAGTGTCTTTGGGCTTTCTAGACCTTTTGTTGGAGCAATTGGAGCAAAACATGCCTCGTGTTTAAATGTTCCAAAGCTTTTCTAGGAAAGAGCCACAGATTGCTTGAACTCCTTTGACGTATGCCTTGGAGGTCGCGATGCATTGGATCACAAACTGTTGCCCTGGGGCCGACTACCTCCAATTGCCATGTGTGAGGCTGCAACTACAGTGCCAAAGCCATGCACATGGAACGCAATGCACTTCACAGCTCCTACTCTGCCTACCTAAACCGATGATTATCACGGGCTATCATGTTCCAAATTGATGAATACAAACAGTCTTGTGCAAAGAATCAGTGTGAAATACATACCCGGAGGCATGTTTGATTCGCTGATCTGACTTTCCGCCTGTCATCAACCAAGCTAGCGTTTCCCCTCCAGTACATGATTGGAGTCACCCAAAAAGTAAAAAAAACGCTGTTGGGATACACTTGGTAAGGCACGCAGGAGCATGTCACTTTGTTCCACAACTCGGAAAAGCGCTGATCACAGCCTTCCAAAGGACATGCTTTCAGCAGCAAAGCCCTCTTTCAGTTACACACTGTGCTACATTGTGCTACCATCAGATTGAAAGTCGCCGCAAGGTCAGGGAAGTTGGCCTCTGAAGGAGCGCAACGAAGGTGAAACTTACTCGAGATATTAACAGAGACTGAATGAAACCTGTCGAAATATCGAAAACCATGAATGAACATACATACTTTCCATTCCATTCCATTCCATGTACCACCTGTCTTTTTCCAATGAGCCAACGCCATTGATCACCCTTGGTGAATCTTGGCACCCGCTAAGGTCTTCAGCCGAGAAGACTGACACGACAAAATCAGGTCGGTCCAGCAGGCAAAAAGCATTTGTCATATTTTGTCATGAAGCATCGTGATATTTTATTTATGCAGCGGTACAATGGTACAATGCATGATGTGGGGTTTTTTAGCTGCAGCATGCAGTGGGCAAACCCTCTGCCGCTGAACCTAAGCTCCAACCTGCTTTCAGGATTGGGCTTAACTTTGCAAGGCCAGTTGCCCAAAATGGATCCATCAAGAAACAAGATTTGAAGAGTTGATCTTAAAAGGGATAAACGAAAAACATCAACACCGTTCCAGCAACATTTCGAGCATCGTGGCGTCTGAACGGAAAACATGATCGAGCGGCGCAAAAGCTGCCAGGAATGCTGACCCCTCCTATCCGGAAGGAATGCAATGCACTTGCTGCAAGCTGCATGATTTCTAGGAGGCTTCTCTTCACAATTGCTACAACAGGCTGCAAGCCTACAACCTTGAACAGCTTCTAATCAAGCCTCCAGCAAAGGCAGCAATGAAAATCGACACCCGATGCATGGCTGCAAAAGCTCAAGAACCAGCCATACACACAACAAACAAATCTAATGTAAAGTCAGGATGAATAAATCCCCCCTAGTTAACCCGAGCCCACAAAGCCGCCAGAAATTGCCCAAATTAAAAGTATTATTGGCTGTTGATTTTCCCCCCTGTGGTCTAGTTTTCTACCAACAATCCCCCCCAGTTAATCCGAGCCCACAACCAGGTCAATTTTTCGTTTTGCTACTACTACTACTGCTACTGCTACTACTACTACTACTGCTGCTACTGCTGCTACTGCTGCTACTGCGGCTCCTGCTCCTGCTCCTGCTCCTGCTCCCGCTCCTCCTCCCGCTCCTCCTCCCGCTCCTCCCGCTGCTCCTGCTGCTCCTGCTGCTCCTCCTCCTCCTCCTGCTGCTGCTGCTGCTACTCCCACGACCACCACCACCACCACCACCATCACCATCACCACCTACCACCTACCACCTACTACATGTTTGATGAAATCCTTTAAAATGTCTAGGGCTCAGGGCCTATAAATTGCCTTATTAAAAACCAATTAAAAACAATCATTTGACAAGCTCGCAAAGGGTACCCCTCACAAGGGCTGGTCCCCCATCAATAATCAGCACTACTACCCCCTATTAATTTGATCCTGTGTCCCTGGCCTTTTCTTTGTGCTTGTTTAAACTTGTTGTGACTACTACTACCACTACTGCTGCTGCTACTGCGACTACCACTACCACTACTACTGCTGCTGCTGTTGCTGCTGCTCCTACTACTACTATTATTACTACTACCACCACAACCACTACTACTACAACTACTACCACTACCTACTACCTACTACCTACTACCTACTACCTTTACCTACTACCTACTACCTACTACTACTACCTACTACCTACTACCTACTACCTACTACCGACGACGACTGCGACTACGATGGCTCCCTGAGCCGATAATTCAGGGGGAGTGGACCTCATGAGCGGTATCTCATATCATCTTGACCTTGCTGACCTACTATGTGGGGGGGGGGATTTATTAATCCGGTCTTTGCATTAATATGTTTCTAGTAGCTTCTTGCTCCTAGTAGTACGGGCTCCTAGTAGCGTCCGATCGCTCCTAGTAGCGATGCCACGAGCCCCGTTCGTAGCTTCTTGTTTGTATGTGTCACCGTTGATAGCCTGCCTCAAAAGGCATCGCTGGTAACTTTAGAGGGATGAACACTTTGTGCGCCGATTAATTGAGCTTCCTGAGATGCCGCCCGGAGTATCACGAACATCCGCTGATGCGCTCAGTGCGTTGCACAAAGCAAAAACAGCAAGAATGTTCTCTGAATTTGTCTCACCTACTGCTACTCGCATTGCCCGGGATTCGCGGCCAGGCACAGCAGTTTTCATGGCAAACAAGGAGTTCAAATATACCAAATCAGATCTTTCAATGTCATGCTTCAGGCCGCTGCGGGCTCAACTCCACATGCCTGGATTCGCCTTGCAAGGTTTACCACTTTACGGCACCACAATTGTTCGTGGTCCTTCATCAATCTCCTCGGGCAAGAGCGCTTAGAGGGTGCAATGGTTTTGGCAAGGGTGACCTGACTAGAACGTGAAAACTGAGCTACTCCAATGCTGGTGAAGTGTTTGTGAAACTATGTGAAACTTGAATCAATCCTTGGGCTGCAAATCCTCTTCGCAGTTCTTGCTCTGGGACGATGTATTTGTCTCCTGAACATGTCAGAATGCTTTCAAACGATACCCAATTGGGTCTTTCCTATCACACATGTTCCAAGTCTAGCGCTGACAAGGGACTACGCTAAGTGTTGGAACTTGGCTGCGAGTGACCAGGTAGCATACAGGGAAGATGAGATATGCTTGTTAAGTTTCCCTTAAAATCTAGGACCGGAGCCAAATCATTAGTGTGAGCGCTTCTTCAAGGAAGCTCCCCCACGCTCTCAGGCGCTTCCTTGAAGACGTGTGAATTATCCTGCATCCAGACGTAGTAGCTTAAGTAGCTAGGGTCGCTTTCCCTTAATTAAGTAGACGCCTACTTGATTAAAAAGGGACGGGCAAAAAAAAACAACACAATGAGACTCGTCGGAACTCCTCTTTGCCGTTGTTGTCAATCGCGTCAAGCCCCGTGTCTTTCTTGCCCGATCTGCTTGCCCACCAACGATCGATAGGAATATGCCCTCAATCTCCGAAGGAATGCGAAACAATGGCGTTGCAAACTCGGATTGAAAGACAGTTATTCCGAAGTCAAAAAAGTCAAGCGGCCAAAGCTGTTTTCTGGTCCTGGCAATCCAAAGCACTTTCCGGAAGCAAGTGTGTGTGTGTGTGTGTGTGGGTGTGTATGGACACCCTGGAGTGAAGGGTCTGCAAAACTTTGACGTTTTGTTCTGGCGTGTTCACTACCACTACCACTACCACCACTACTACTACTACTACTACTACTACTACTACTACTCTTACTCTTACTCTTACTCTTACTCTTACTCTTACTCTTATACTTACTTACTTACTTACTTACCTACCTACCTACCTACTGAGGATGGAGACACCAAGACTACTTCTCCACCAAGCAGCCTACTTAATCGTGATCTTGGATTAAAGGTGCTCTTGTACTCCGAAACGCGTTGCAAAGACATGTAAAGACTAAGGTTTTCTCGACTTACAGTAGGCTTACGGTCGGCCGACCGATCTTGGTCCTTTTGCATGTACGTTCCATTCAATCCATGGTGTGCAGTGAGGCTGTCCTGCTGTCCACAGCAGCGACATGAAGAACACCAATGAGAATAGGAAGGAGTACCTGATGGCACGAGTGGTAGCATGAAAAAACATTGAGATGTACTGCTTGGCTTCACTTCTTCTGTTCCTTTTATTCCAAAGCTCATGAAGGGCACATAATCGTGACGCAAATGAGCAGTGCCATCTTGATGAAGAAATAGAACCAACAAACAAACATGGTGGCACCCGCCAACATCGTGGTGATAGCACCTGGAGGCAAAGCGAGAGAAACTTGTGGCAACTGCAGCAAGTCCATCTGCAAAATATCACACAAATAGAGATTTAAACATAAAGGTGCTTGGCCCCTTTCATACGGCCTTTTTAAATGGAGCCTTGTTAGAGGGGCCCAAGTCCACCTTCCTGTCTCTATAAACCATATGTTACGATTCAAATCGCCTGCGAAGATTGTAGAGCCCATGCTGCGAATTGCAAACTTGGCACGTTCATCACCTGAGCCAAGTCGTGAACACCCGTGTGGCTTGTGGCCAAAATGCATTCCTTACTAGTAACAAGTGCCTTACTAGTAGTAACAAGAAGCTACTAGTAACAAGTGCATCGCTTCTAGTAACAAGTGCCTTACTAGTAGTAACAAGTTATCACCGATCCGAGTCACGCGTCTGGTGGCCAAAATGCATTCCTTCGCTATACATGTGCGCCAAATGGACCACATAATCCACTGAATAACCGATCACGATAACACCAGCAATCGCTTCACCTCAGTCTCACCAAGTTGGTCATCTTCAGTCTTCGATAAAGGAAACAAAACTCGTTCGTTTTTGTTGAAAAGAGAGTGTTTTTATTGTTTCACTATGTGTCATTTCCGTGTTCAAAGCTTCCAGGTTCAAAACGGTCAAAACAAATCAAAGCAACATCTTGAGAATTGGATCAGTCCCTCCATTTCGCTGACGGCCTAGCTTGTGAATGTTCTCTGTCTAAGGCCACCACCGACACCAAGATCCCAGTCCATGGCACTCTTGCAGAATCCCAAGACACAAAGAACCTTGGCTTCAAAAGAGCAAATTGCACAGCCAAACTGGATCTCCATCAGCAGAGATGTAGGAGCAAGAAGCTACTAGTAACAAGTGCATCGCTTCTAGTAACAAGTGCCTTACTAGTAGTAACAAGGACGCTAGTAGGAACAAGTGTCTTACTAGTAGTAACAAGTGCCTTACTAGTAGTAACAAGGACGCTAG